TATATATATATATATATATATATATATATCTTTCTATTAATTTTTGTAAGCTTTTTTTAAAAAAATCCCGAGAACTCAATATTTAGAAAAACTGATATATGATACTATTGGCAATAAAAATTTCAGTGTAGACTGGGAAGAGCTCAGAATTAGTCAGAATATCCAATTTGTCCCAACCTCCCTGGTCTTAATTTCCTCTCATTTGTAAAATATACACATTCATATCTGCCCTCCCTACATCGCAGGATTCTTTCAGGAACAAGATGAAATTAAGTGAAAATGCTGCGGGAATGTGAAGCCCTTTGCTGCTGGTCATCAGCTCCTGGCTGTCATTCGATTCACCTGTGGAGTTTCCACAGCAAAACTGCCCAGGTTCCATCTGCCAAGAATTTCTCATTCCGCGAATCTACTTGGGTAGAAATCAAGAATGGTGAGTGGAGAGTACGGAGATATGGAGGTTTTTATTTTTGTCTTTATTTATCTATTTTTAAGTGGGATCCAGACAATGAAGAGACCTCATGGTAAAGCAATGGTAAGAAGCTCAGACTCAAAGCAAGGAGTGATGGAGAGTCCTGGAGAGGCTGAGTCCCAATGGACAGGGTGTGACTGCTTTTGAGAAACGGCATCTGGAAGGAATGACTCTGAACAGCAGCGCTCCCCCACACCAGCAGCCAGTCTGTTGTACCAGCTCATAGAGTAAGGAAAGCACATTCCTGGGTCAAAAGATCAACAGCTACCATTCGGTTTGAGCCAAGAAATATTCAAAACAGGGAGAGTAAATTTTGGAGTGACCGTTTTTGATTTTCCTGCTTGTCCCTCTAGTTGAAATAGAAGAGGAAAACGGAGCCAGAAAGACCATGTCCTCCCTGCTCCCCTTTATTCCAGTCAAATACCAGAGGGGTAGGCGAGAAGAACAAGCCAGCAACCTGTGAAGTTCAGTGGGATCTAAGTGTAGAAGACACTGGAACCTGCTTCCTGTGTGAGAGTCTTGAAGGTAGGAGGATTACCAACATCCCCGCTGCCCACCTCCCCATGCACGGGGCACAAGAAGGCAGGGAGCCATCAAGGGTTTGTAGGCAGAAGAGAACCAGAGAACCAGAACCAGCCCTATGATGTCCCGCAGTCCCTCAGTGGTATGGTGTGACATTATGAAAAAATGTCATAACTTTTCAGAGGGCTTCACAGATGACACTAACGGAAGGGGAGGGTCACTGTGTCTGCCACTGTGTTATCCAGCCATAGCCAGGGATGCGTGCTGAGAGGCTCATGGTGAGATTCTCACTGGGGTTGGAAGGGTGGCACAGCCATGATTGAAATGGGCAGCACCGGGAGCCTCTGAAAGGCTTCAGGCCAGCATATTGCCAGAGCTGATAAGCAAGGATGGACTGGGGACAGTTGCCTGCACAGGATGCCACAGCCTAGAGATGCGAACGTTCAGCTATAAGTCAGAGAGAACTCACATCACAGTATTTTGAAAATAGAGAATCTACTTTTTGCCTAATCTTAGGCAGCCAAGGACCTGGCTCACTGGACTGGCAAGTTCAAGATCAAGGTCCCTGGGATTATCTTGACCTTCTTTCCTCCTTGTTCCCTGCTAGTGGCCATAGGGCTCCAGAGACCATGTTCACTTTCAAGAAGAAAGTGGAATGTGAGGGGGTATTGACTGTGTCTTTCCTTATTTTGGGGAAAAACAGAATCATTCCCACAACTCCTAGCAGATTTCTACTTTTGGACCCTTTGTCTAGAACTGGGTCATATGACGTCCCACTCTCCCTTTGCTGCAAGGAGTCTGGAAACCCAAATATCCTGACTCCTCTTGGGCACAGTGATGTCCCAACCCAATTTGAGCTGTGTAAGCAAAGAAGAAAGAGGACTGGGGACTGGATGGGCAAATCAGTGACAATGACAAGGTCCTCCATGAAAATCTGAAAGTAAATTCTGTCATATGCTGTTGCCCTGCCTGTTCCCCATGTTGACAGATAAAATGCAGAATGCTCAGTTCAATTTGAATGTCATATAAATTACAAATGATTTTCTTTTTAGTATTAGAATCCCCTATGTATATATACACACACACACACCTGGGTTTTTGAAAGTGAAATTCAATTCATGTATTTTTATTTGCTAAATCTAGTAACTCTACTTCCTTCAGCCCCCTTCAGTACAACGCTGTTTCTGTATTGGAAGATAGGGTGAGGAGGAAGATGTTTTAGAATCTTGAGCAACCTGAGAAATTGTGGAATTGGACTGACTACCTGAGAGTGACAAGATTGGATTTTTACACTAGGGAGGATCAAGGCTCAGGGCCAGGAATTAAAATTAAGTTATAAAAAAATAAAGACTTTCAATTTAGCATCCTTGAGTTTGTGACTCTGAAATTCACACCTGATCCAAGAGAAGGGATGGGAGGAGGGTGACTGGGAGTAGGGAGAAAAGATGGTAAACTCATGTGGCCGTGGATTGGAGAGGCTACAGGGGCTGGAACTGGGGTATAGGCAGGGGGCTAAGTAGGGTTAGGTGGATCCAAAAAATACTTAGAAGATAAAAATATTGGATACTTGGTGGCTGAATGGCTGTTGGAGGTGAAGGACAGGAAGAAGCTCGGATGATGACCAGGTTTTCTGATTGAGTAATTGGTAATTTGCTAAAGAGGGGAACATTTGCTACTGGGAAAGATGATGAATTTGGGTTCAGATAGCTTGAGTTTGGGAGTCCCCAAGGGCTCTTGCAAGTGGTCCCCTAGAAGGCAGTTTGTGGGGTGACGTAGAAGGCCTCTGACGACACAGCCTGGAACCCTAACCTTGCTTCAGAGGAGCAATGCCAACTTCAGATGTTCATGCACTGGCTGCCAGAATGTTTTCCTATGAGTGAAGAAAGCCTGCTGCAGCAAAAATAAAAAGAAGGACCACGAAGTGAAAGTTAAACAGTGACTTCAAACAATGAAAATATGCACTGGGCAGAACAGTTGGGAGGTCATCTCAGTTCTAATCCTAATCCAGACAGAGAGGTAGAAAATCACTCTCCAGATCCTTCTGCCTTCACATGGGAGATGAAGGGGGATCTGCTCCATCCAGCATGAAGCCCTACTTCTGCCTTGGCACACTTGAAAATACTTCTGCAACTAGCCAGCCTTATATGTGGGATAGGAATTCAAGGACTCCCTAGTCAGGGGGTAGATTATTGACCCAAATTAGAGGGAGACCCGGTCTTTCCCATGAGCTGGAATTTTGAGGCAAGCAGCACAGGTGTGGGAGAGGCAGGAGCCCTGGGCAGCTGCACCGGACAAGATTCTCCAGTAGTCTTGCTACCTACATCCATGCAAGGGGCCTGTGTCTTGTCCACTTCTTCTGAGCTAGGTTCTCCCCCACATTCCACCAGTCACCTAACATCCTTTCCATAAAATCATTTCCACTTAATTTAGTCAGAATGGGTTTTCATTGCCTTTTGACCAAAGAACACCAAGTGATTCAGAAGAAGCTGGACTAGGAGTATTTCCAACATATCTTTTGGGTTCAAAACACCAACAATATATAGCATCGATTTTAAAGATTTCTAGTAATTTTTTGAAAAGGTCATTTTTTTTTGCAGAAGATATACCAAATAAGAATATGTTTAAATATGTATATATAACTTTGTTGACACCATTTATATTTTGTACACACCTATATGCATGTACAAATGCACCTGTAAGCCATTAAGCCTCATGAGTAATATTTGAGAGCAAGAAAGAATCATAGTTATTTGCTAAATAGGTTTCTACTAAATCTTTAAAGTAAGGCAAATTATTTAATCTGAATATCTTCATTTATTAAAATGAACTGATTCTTGGAAAACAAAAATACATGACAATTTTCATTATTATATTTGGATTTCTCAGATTTTTTATTT